CAGCGGGAAAACACTCCAGGCTCCCTCAGACCCTAGATGACCTTAGATGACCATAAGGCTCCCAGAGCTGGGGGACCTCGCATATCCCCATGTTGAGTGGGTACAAAGGTTGCTGCCACTTGGTAGTCACAGGCTACCTGCGACACCTGGATACAGGATTGGCAGCCAGTCCTCTGACCAACCAGGACCCTGGGCAAGGCACTGGCCCTCTCACAGCCAAATGCCAATTTTACAATATCCAAGTACTGCTGATACTGCAAGTTTTATTAACTTGTTTTTCTTCAAAATGACTGAAGCCCTTCTTTGAAGTAATGAAAGTTATCCCTTCTTTGGGATATGACGGTCACTACTGGTCTGTGACAAACAATGCCTACATTAGACGGTTAACTAAAAATAAACACAGTGAAAAGAAAGTCATTAAATTCTAGCAACTACACAATACTTTGATGAAACAATCTAAAAAAAAAAAGAGATACAAAAATACTTCCATTAAAAAAAAAAATTCTATCCGAAGGCTGTTGCCTGCCCCAAATACTAAGCCTGTTAAGAGGCGAATGAATGAACACATAGCACTGACATTAGCAGCAAGTAGGGACTGTGTCTCCTTGATGTAGAAAAGATAGAAAGAAATTGCAGTTAACTTTTTTTTTAATTGCCTAAGTATGTGCACTGGATAGAGAGAGGCAGGGAGGGAGAAAACACCTTCTAAAGGGGTATGGTCACACTTCAATCCCTTCTCCCTTCCTCCGTCCTGTCAGGATTTGGGGCTTACACTCAGTGTCTCTCAGGGTGCTGGGGCTGGGATTCAAACTGCTTGGCCTTAACCACTAGACTCTGAGGTTGACCAGTTAGCTTTTTTCTTTTTCCTTTTTTTAAGCTGAGATTATTTTGTTTTTATTTCTTTCTTCCATGAAAGAGAGTGAGAGAAACAGAGAAAGAGAGAGGCAGAGAAAGATAGAGAGAGGTGGAGACAGTCACCCTCAAGAAGGTCTCAATGTTACAGTCCACCTCCACCTTCAGCCAACCCCAGATCATGGGCACCTGCATGTTTGGTGTGTTCAGGGAGGTCCTTGGATGTGAACCCAGAACTTTCCCATGTGGGTCAGCTTCGAGGGCATTGCACTGCCACTGCATCTAGCCTCTGGGATTCAATGTTATTTAATCCTGGAACATGGAAAGATGCCAAAATAGTCTCGCAGTTTGCATATAACCCACTCTTAAGGGAATATGGGATGAAATGGTTGGCCTCTGGCTGCATTCAGCAGTTCTCAGAATCCAATCTTGTGTCCTCATCACCTGGAGAGGGGAACATGATCAGCCTTAGGCTACTCAGCACCCAGGGCTGGGAACCAGCTCAGCCAAGTCTGGCCCTCACGGACTTGTGGGGCCCCTGAATCACAGACACAGGCACCCAATCCTTGCCTCCTTGACCATTTCAGATATCTCTCTCCTGGAGCGCAGGCTGGAGTGTGGGACCAATAACATCAAGGTGTCCCTGGGCAAATGCCAGCTGAAGAGCCTGGGCTTCGAGAAGGTCTTCATGTACCTGCGTGACAGCCGGTGCTCAGGTTTCAGTGAGAGGGACAAGCGGGACTGGGTGTCTGTAGTGACCCCGACTCGGGCTGGCCCCTGCGGGACAGTGATGACGGTAGGTCCTGACCTATTGGACACAGAGCAAGAGTGCTGCCCAATTCAAGCCCCCACTCTACCACTTATTAGGTGTATGAACTTGGGTGAGTTATTTAGCCTGACTCGGCTTCAGTTTTCTCAGCTGTAAAATGGGGAATGAGAGTACCTACTCCATAAGGCCATAGAGAAGCTTAAGTGAATTAGAACAGTGACCGGTACATTGCAAATGGTCTATGGATGTAAGCTTCAGATAAAGAAGGTGATCCATGGTGATAGTTCCCCATTTTATAGATGGAACAAGTAGTGCTCAGATGGCAGTGATTGTTCCCAGCCAGCAGGTATCAGTGCTGGGTTCAGAAGCAGGTCAGCTTCTGGTGGTTCGGGGAGCCAGGGGCTGTGTCATTGGCATTTGGGGAACCAAGAGCTTACCTAGAGAGGCCACGTCAAATGAGACCCAGAGGGAAATTCTTGTGTGAGTGGAACATTGCTTCCTCCTGCTTCCCTCAGTTCCCTTCCCTCCAAGAAAAAGGGAAGAGAACAAAGGGAAGAAGAAGTTAATTAATTGTCATTTGTCAAGCAGAGCCTTTGAAATCTCATCAATGATGCCCCAGCCTATTGTTTCTCAATGGGGTACTAGGAAGAGCCCAGGCTTGTCAGAGCCCATGGACTGTGGACAGGCAATCCATAACTAGGAACCTCTGTCTCCTCATTCATGAAGCAGGGATGGGCAGCCTTGCCTCTTAGCGCCACTGAGGGGGCTAATGCAATGATGCAGGAGGTTTGTTAGCTCAAGGTCTGGGACTTGACACATGTTCAGAAAGGGTCACTGCTGTGCTGTTCTTAACTTTTTATCACAGAGATGGGAAAACTAGCTCACAGGTGGCTAGAGACAAACTGCTTTGGCTCTGCTGTCCTAGTCAGACTCTCATGCCCTGTTCTTTGACCATACCCTCTTTCCCAACACAGAGGAATGAAACCCATGCCATCTATAGCAACACCCTCTACCTGGCAGATGAGATCATCATCCGTGACCTCAACATCAAAATCGACTTTGCGTGCTCCTACCCTCTGGACATGAAAGTCAGCCTGAAGACCTCCTTGCAGCCTATGGTCAGGTGTGGCTGGAGAGGGTCCCCAGTGGCTCAGAAGGGCTCCACCCCACAGCCTCTTAAGCAAGAGACCTTCAGCTTCGCTGTCAACTGCCACTCATAGGGATGGTGCTCATGGGTATGGGGGCTGGGAGGCAAGGCTATCCAAGGGAGGAGCCTAGCTAGGAATCTTGGAGCCCAGATTTAAATCCATACTCTGCCACATACTAAGCCACTGGCTTTGAGAAGTTATAGCCCCACTCCAGGTGTCAGTCTTCTCATCTGTGTAACAGGTTTAGCTATAGTTGTACTGCCTTTCTTAGGAGGACAACAGGGCTCTACAACTGTGAACCAAATGTTAGCATCTCAGGTTTTTCAGAGGGGCAGGGTGGTTGGACCAGAGGGAAGGAGAGGGTCTCCATCCAGTTCTTCCCTGAGACTTTGGGCAAATCATATCCCGTATTTGGACCTGAGTTTCCTTCTTTCTTTGTAAACTGAAGGAATCTGATTAAGAGTTTATAAATTATACTCCTTGAAAGTGTCTTGGGGCCAAGGAAGATGTCTTGAGAGAATGCCTGCAGGAGTGGACCACATTGGGTGCCCTATGAGGTTTCATTATTTATTTATTTTTTAAAGATCCTGTTACTAAATAAAATGAAGAGTCTTTGAATAGGATGAATTATAGGCCACTGATGCTGATGTTGGAAATCGAATTAATAATAACTAGCATTTATTGAGAGGCATGGTGTTAAGTACTTTACATGGAATAAGTCATTGAAATCTTGCAGCAGCCCTAGGAGATGTAGGTATTATTACTCCCATGATACTGAAGTTGAGGATCAAGGAAGTTTGAGAAAACTGCCCAGAGTTGTGAAGTTTAATAAATGGCAGAGCTAGGGTTCAAACACTAGGTCCAGAGCCCTTACTCTACTATAAGCTTCACTTTGAAGCTTGCCCATGGTTACATGTTCTCTGGGCCAGCTAGACTTAGGAAAAGGTGTTAGGCACTGATGAAGGTGCACAGCTGGCTTGGAGGAAGGAGGTTGCTCACTACCAGCTCTGGCTGGAGTATGACTTGGCCATGCATTGCCCTGGAGCAATGTGTCCATGCCCTGGGGCTGGTAAGCTCCAGGGACTAGCCCATCTATGTGCAAATTACTGTCTGGTTCGAGTTGGAAATCTCACTCCACATAGTTCTTACCTGTCCAATTATAGGTAAATGTTGCTGAGTACTTCTCATGTGCCTTATTTCATGCAGCATCAATCTTACAATGTCTCTTAAAAGATTGCCCAGTGAAGTTGACATCTGTGTGACTGTTTCCAATGTGGTTAAAAATAAACCCTGAGTGTTACTCTACCACAATGGAGCCACAACATGGAATTGTAGGACTCCTAGCTCATCCCTTTACATCTGTGCTAAATTGAGACCAAAGAAGGAATCCAGATGACCCCTCAAGAGTTTGTTCCATATCTTGAAGGCTACAGGAGTAGCAAGGTTCACCAAGTAGGAGACATGTTACTTAGGACAAGACCTATGGGTCAGCAGTACGCTGCCTGGGAGCTCGTTAGAAATGCAAAACCTTGAGCCCCACCCCCAGCCTACTGAATCAGAACCTGCATTTTAACAAGACTCCCAAGGTGACTGTGTGCTTGCTCATTGCTGTTTGCAAATCCACAATGGGTGAGTTCCTCCTGCTGGATAAAATTGCAAAGGACTTTTTCAAGGGACTGTCCAGGAATGCAGAGAAGAAAGGGCAGCTCACCTGTGGCCATTCTCATCCTGTCCTTACACCAGCCCTCTCTCCCTGCAGTACCCTGAACATCAGTGTGGGTGGGACAGGCATGTTCACTGTGCGGATGGCGCTTTTCCAGAGCCCTACCTACACACAACCCTACGAAGGCTCCTCTGTCACACTGACCACCGAGGCATTTCTCTACGTGGGCACCATGCTGGATGGGGGCGACCTGTCCCGATTTGCTCTGCTGATGACCAACTGCTATGCTACACCCAGTGGTAATGCCACAGACCCCCTGAAGTACTTCATCATCCAGGACCGGTGAGGCAAAGGTTCCTGGGGGCACCCATGGAGGGAACTCAGGGTGATCTTTGGGCTTGAACTGGGGCAAAGTACATTTTATCTCCATTACCCCCTAGCTGAAATTTAACATTTCCATCCATTCTGGAATATAGGCAACAAGTCACGAAAGTATTAACAGTTATGTAAAATCATTTATGCTCATCAATATTTTTCAGTTGCTTTGGTATTAGAATTTGCACTGGACCTTATTATTTAATGCATTGTCAAATATGTGTGTGTATATATATATATGTATATGTGTATCTCTCTCTATATATATGTATATATGTGTATATGTATATATGTGTATATATACATATATATATATAGAGAGATACACATATACTTATCTCAAATATATACTTATATAATAATGTATGAAAATACAATGCATATATCAAATGTTTTGTGTTTTAAGAACCATGCTTCAAGTTAATTGGTTTTAATTATAATGTTTTAAATACTTCCTTTCTATTTTTGGAGAGGTTTTTGCTATAGAGCACATGCGCTCGCCAGAAAGACAGAGAGAGACAGAGAGACAGAAAGCGAGAAATCACCCCTTGGGGGAATGGCCACACCACAGTCCTTTCTTTTCCATTCTCCTCTTGGGCACGCACCACATGCTCCTGGTGTGAGTTTAAGCCACTGGGTCTGGGACTCGAACTGTGGGAAACTACATGAGAGTCCAGTGACAGAGTCATTACGCCAACTGCTGGATCCCTAAATACTTTCTTTCATGTTCTTAAAAACATTGTTTTTGAGGAGGGATGTATAAGCTTCACAAGAGAGTAGAAGGAGTCCATGATTCGTCTAAGACAGCAGGCAGCCTGCCACCTGGCTTGGAGGACTGAGGCATGGGCATAGTTAGCCAAGGGCCATTGAAATTGGAGGACAAAAATGTGCTGCTTTTTACTCAAGAGCATCAGCGATTGTGATCCACACAGTGAGAAAGTGGTTCACACTTTCATTCATAAATTTGACTGATACTTCAGAAGCTTGCTGTCTATCAGCCTCTGTGGACATTGCAGTGAACAGAATAGATAAAAAGAAAACGAAACCTCTCTGCCTTCATACAATTTATATTCTAAGGGGGAAGATTGACAATTAAACACAAGTGAAATATATGGTATGTTAATGGTTAAAGGGTTGCAGAGAAAAATGAAGCAGGGAGAGGGGAGGGACACTTGCAATTTCATCAGTGTGATAAGAGAGCTGCATCTTTGAGAGGCAGTGGCTATTCAGGCCAGTTAGAGTCTGCCTGGCCCCGGATATTCTCAGTTGGGTACTATTCTGCAGTTACAACAGTCCGTTATTTGGAATTTCTCTTTGCACTAAAAAGAAAGCAGAAATCTGTTATAATTTAACAGCCCTTTTGTATACCCCGTACTCATTTATATAGTTGGGTTCTATTTATTCCAAGTGATATTGCTTTACCATTTGTGGTCATGATCCAAAGATTCTTCTAGAAAATAAATGTATTTAAGTAAAAACAGTATGTGAATTTAAAGAGAAATAGTGAGTAAATAACAATACGGGTGTTGGGACATACAAGAAAGTAGTAATAAAGGTGTCTCTAGATAAAGAAAGAAGAACTGAAATTTGGAAAATATTGGCATGATCTTGATTAGGTTCAAATCCTGGCTTTGTCATTTCTTAGTTCCCAGAGCCCAGTAAGCTCATCTCTTAGGATAGTCATTTTCTCATACGTGAAATGGGGTAAATTATACCTACCATATTGGGAGTTTTTTAAACTTCTTTTTCCTGAATACAAAAATACAGCAGGTATGTTGCGGAAAACTTGGAAGGTAAAGCAGCAGGAAGAGATGTAGGGTGTGTCTATGTGTTTTTCTGAGTATAAAAGAACTGCAGGTACATTGTGGAAATCTTGGAAAGTTTTGAAAATGAAGTAGAAAGAAATGCAAGGTGTGTGTGGGAGCTGTGTGGAGAACTACCAGTCTGAGAGAGGTACCAGAATATCACAAGACGTGGAAAGCGGCGACAAGTCAGGGAGACAGTGGGAGTGGTTGGAGGGGACGCTTGTATGCTCTGCCTGGGTTGAATGCACGGGGACACCATGGCACCATGGACCACCTAGATGCCACTCTCTGCCGTTCAGGGGGTGGGTCTACTTAACCTCAGGGCCTTTATTTTGCCAAGTGGAGTTTGTAATGTTGGGGTCAGATCTGAACTGTGAGGGAGGGACACAGAGCAGAGAGTGAACACCACCCCCAGAAGTTCCTTTCTCAGTTCTTGAAGTCAGTGTTCAGCCTCTCTTCTAAGTCAGCTTTGAGCAAAGCTTGTGAAATAGCAGAACGGTGTTCTCCTGGCCTGCCTGGTGCCTGTGTACCCTGCCCTAGCCCAGCTCTTGCCTGAGTCTCTGCACAAGCTATTTGGAGTTTCTCTTTGCACGAGCGTTTGGGTACAACTGTGTAAGTACGCAGATGGGTGTGCACACTGCGATCTGGTCAGTGGTCCTCAGTACTCAGAGGTTTCCCTTGTTATCATTATACCAGGCACATAGTAGAGAGCAAATAGTTAATAATGATTCTTGAAGCCATTTCCTGGGAAATCAGAAAATACTGACAATGGGGTAGCTTCAACTCTGAGATGACAGTTTTGCTTTCATGTCAGCTATGTAGGGCACCTATGGCCACATTCTGTTCTAAGCATTTTGAAAAATTAACTAATTTAATCCTCACAGCTAATGCACATCATGGGTTACAATGGTTATCCCTGTATATAGATGGGGAAATTGAAGGACAGAGATTCTAAGAAAGTGGCTCAAGGTTGCACAGCTAACAGACAGTAGATCAATATTTGAACCCAGGAAGTTGTTCCAGGGTCTTTTCTGAACCAACCACCATTACATGATGTAACCCTTCCAGATGTCCACGTACCGTTGACTCAACCATCCAAGTGGTGGAGAATGGGGAGTCCACACAGGGCCGATTTTCCGTCCAGATGTTCCGATTTGCTGGAAACTATGACCTGGTCTACTTGCACTGTGAAGTGTATCTCTGTGACATCATGACAGAAAAGTGCAAGCCCGTGAGTCACTTCTCCCTCAGCCTGCTTGCTGCCCTTTTCCCTCCCCCATATAAGCAAAGATATCTGCATAGGTCTAGTAGAAAACAGATCAACATTTCTTCAGTGTTTCCTTCTTTTAGTACAGGAATAGAACTGAGCAATCAACTGGGGTAGGCATGGCCAGGCAAGAGATCTAAGCTGCAGGGAAATCAGGTGGACCAGTGAAGTAGGGCGGGCCAGTATAAGTTCTGGCTTATCTGCAAGCTTGTGTTCTAGTCACAGCAGCTACATTTTTTTTTTTTTTGAGAGGATTTTGCTATAGGGTGCACACACTTCGCCAGAAAGACAGAGAAACAGAGAGACGGAAAGCAAGAAATCACCCCCAGGGTGGATGGTCATGCCACAATCCCTTTTCCTCCATTCTCCTCTCGGGATCTTGGGCACGCTCACACACACCCACAGCTTGAGTTTCAGCCACCGGGTCTGGGACTCAAACCGTGGTCAAATGCATGGGAGTCCAGCGACATAGCTATTATGCCAACTGCTGTCTCCACAGTAACTACATTTTTAAGCACTCTGTGTACCTTATGTGTTTTGACATTTTAACACTTCACAGAGACTCTGTAAGGGAGGTTTCACTAACCCCACTTTCTACATGGGAAGAGAGGCTCAGAGAATATATGTGATTTGTTTGAGATGATTACAAATGGTAGAGCTGGGACATGGACCTGGGTCCACGGATCTTCTCGCAAATCCTGCCTCTACCTGCTGCAAGCCCCAGCCTGAGGTGGGAGGATGCTCCTATGAGGCACGCAGCCCATTCCACCTGCCAGGACCATATGCATTCTCCCTCATGGGAGGTTTGCTCTATCACCCTCTCCCTACAGACCTGCTCTGGGACCAGATTCAGAAGTGGGGTCAGCATAGACCAATCCCGTGTCCTGAACTTGGGTCCCATCACACGGAAGGGTAAGAGATCACTCCCTCTCTGATGTTCTTGGCTGGGAATGCTCTCTGGAGAGAAAGAGGGGTGACAAATTGGCACCTTGGGTTCCTGTGAGGATTTTCTGGTGTAAGGCGAAATATAAGCTGCCTTGCTTTTCCAGTTCCAGCCTTTTGGAGGAACTGGGAGATGGCCAGGCAGGCTGGATGAAGTGTGGGATGAGCTGATGTGGGCAGGGCCAGGTCACGTGGGCCCTTGCAGTTCTCACCAAAGTTTTAGGCCTTCCTCCTGAAAGCAGTGGGAGCCCCTGCAGGATCCAAGTGGAGAAGTGACATGATCACATTTGGCTTTCGAAAGGATCACTCTGGCTGCAAGGAGAGGTGTAGACTATAGGGGCTTCTCTCAGACTTCTGGCCAACTTCAAGTCTCTTTTACTAATCTTTCTGCTTCTTCCCAAAGGTACCCAGGCCACAGTCTCAAGGGCTTCTTCCAGCAGTTTGGGTAAGTTACGGATCCTCTCCGCAGTGGTACCTGCTTCTGAACTCTTTTCTGGGGCTTCTATTTGTGGATCCTAAGGTGTGCTTGACCTGGGCACTGTAGAGGCAATCAATTGTATCTGTGGAAACACCTACCCCTGGGGCTGTACACATGCACACACACCTGTGTTGTCTCATAATAATAAATACATGCCAATAGACAGGCAGGGGCATGCCCAGATGGGCAAATAAAATGTAGATCGTCCAGACATGTTTGCACGCATGCATTAGGTCACATGCATACATTCATATTTACACACACAGATGCACCGACAGCTGTAGTTACATGCATGTACATATTCAGGTGCAGCTATACACACTTTTATTACAAATCTATACCCAAAGGATATACACACACCCTAGATCTGCATCTTGGGCACTTCCTGATGCACTGTGGTTTATCTTTAACATCCTTTTCAGGATTTATTCAACAGGTGGCAAATATTTGTTCAAGACTATCATGTGCCAAGAACCAAGCTCAAGTGCTAGAATTAATACAGCGGAAAAACAAGAAACCCTGTTTTTCTACTTCTTTGCTTCTCTGGCCACAAAGGCAGAGGGACTGGAGGCATTTTTTATGGCCCTTGATTTTCACAGCTACTGAATTATCTGAAAAATGAATCTGTGCAACTATTGCCCTTTTTGGCTCCTGGCATACAGACCCAAGGGGATTGTTACACCAAGGAGATGTTGGATCTATGCTAGTTCAGCCCAGTGCTGGTGAGCTCAGAGGCAAAGTCAGAGTGTCCAAAGAGGCTTGGCCTTTGTGAATATCCCTCAGAGTCTACAAACATGATTGAGTAGGTTGGTACTGCTCCAGAGTACCCTTTTGAGGTGGTATCAAGCTTGGTGCCAAAGGAAAGACTGCTTGTGGTCATTGGTTCACATTTTTTAATTTTTCCACTCAGAGTGGGCACTTTTTTCTAAGTGGTCTTCAAGGCAGATAAGGAAGAAACTTCCTTTTTCTAACTTATCAGGCCACAGAGGATGTCTTTTCCTAATTGGTCAGTCTATAGGAGGCATTTTATGTAGTTTGCACAAAAATCACATTAGTGCTAGAACAACCATTTATTTTCTTTCCTTCTAGGGCTCATGAAGTTCTGGCTCCCTCTGCTTCTCTCAGCTGCCTTGACCCTTACTTTTGAGTGATGGACGGTGGGAAACCTGTGCTCTGTGGCTACCAGCTCACTTCCTGCCAGCCGGGAGGGGCAATGCAGACTAATGTTCCAGCCATGAAAAAAGGAGCTCACATTTCAGCCAGCCTACTCTTGTCATGTCCCCTGTAATCTTCTCAATGACAAACAGCTTGTGTATTTAGATGCCTCCTCTCAAAGTAGGCCTGGTGATGCTGTGTCTGTACACGGGATCTCTGTCTCCTTAAAGAGTGTGGCAAAATAATAATTTAAAAATCTGACTTTGGAATCATTCATTAGTTCAACAGGTTATTACTGAGTACCCACGAGATCTAGGCACTGTCTATGGTACTGGGTACCCAATATGGGGAAAAGGACTCCATTCCTAGCCTCATGGAGCTCATGGTCTGCTCAGAGAGAGTAGGTTCTGCGGTGTGATCTTACATAAGATACATAATGTCCCTGAACGTCATCTACCCATCCATTCAAGTAATATTTTCTGAGCAGCTACTATGTGCCAGGCACTATGCTGGCTGCTGGAGATCACAGCAGTGAGCGTTGGACACAATCCGTGCCCTCCTGATGTTTATGGTCTGGTGGGAGAGAGAGAACTTGAAAAAATAATTCCAAGTAGGTCAGGCATTTCAGATATGGAGGGTATAATGGGGCTTCTCCTTCTGTAGAGTGGAGATGATAATGAGACCCTCCTAGGGTTCTTTCAGATTTCTAGAAACAGTTTTGAGCACCTCCAACATGCCAGGCCTACTAGGGTAGGTAGTGGAGAGACACTGGAGAGTAAGACAGACCTCACGTCTGCCTTTGGGAGTCTCACAGCCCTTAGAGATGATAAGGAATCAGCGAGGCGATTCAGGTCCCTGGTGAAGGCTCAGAACTCCCTCCATTCCAGAAGAGGTACACCTGTTTCCAGGGCCCCACTGACAATGGGAGCACAGGCCCATTACCCACACAGGTAGAGGATGCTTTGCAGGGAGGCCATCCAGGATGTCCAGCCAGAAACCAAGGGGCTGCTGGCTCTAGGAGACCGAGATGTTCCAGAGGCCTCCGTCCTTGCCAAGTGGGAGAAGGACGCCTGATGGGAACTCTCTGCCCTGATGCCAGCTGTTTCCCTGGACTCCAGCTGTCGCTTTCCAGGAGACGTCAAGGTCCTGCCACATTGTTAGAACTGTTTGATCCCAGGGAAAGCCACACATGTGTATCAGCAAGTGGGGCCTGCCAGGACAGCGTATCTTAAGTTAAAGGCCCTTTTCTCACGCACAGTCATGCACTCAAGGTGCATACCGGCTGCCTTATATAAGAGCTTTATGTGGGAGGACTGCGGGCTCATCCCAACTCCATCCATGATCAATCCACAGTCAGTTGGGCCTGACTGACCATGTGGAGATTCATCTATACTTTGACTCAGGTACACCAGAGCATAAAGAAAAAACTCTATGCCAAGAAAAATAAAAACAAGAGCCAAAGACAAAACTGGAAGAAAGCATATCAGAACAAATCCTTTGGTCCTTCATTTACATTTTTTTCTGTTCTTTTCTGTTTTCTCAGTTAGTTATCCAGCTTACTATATTCAGCAGAGGGGCCAGCAGGTGGCATGGTGGTTGAGGGCACTGGACTCCCACATGGTTGATCACAGTTCGAGTCCCAGACCTGGCAGCTTGCTCTTTCACTTTCCCTCTCTCTCTCTCACTCTGTCCCTCTCTGGTCAAATTAAGATAAACAAATAAATAAAGTTAAATTTAAAATAATTAT